AATGCGACATTTAAGGTGCAACCATTACTGGAGGATCCCGATACTACAAAAGATGAATCCACATTCAAACCAATCAGTGATGAGTATTATGTGCGTTCGGGTCTATTAGGTTTTTTGGGTCCCGGCGGTTTGGTGTTCGTTTGCGGTTCTCGCGATGGTCTAATGACTGTAACTGGGCGAAAACATAATGCGGACGATATAATTGCAACAGTGCTTGCTGTGGAACCGATGCGTTTCATATATCGCGGGCGCATAGCCGTTTTCAGTATTAAAGTATTACGTGATGAACGTGTTTGTGTAATAGCCGAACAGCGACCGGACTGCTCCGAAGAGGAGAGTTTCCAATGGATGTCACGTGTGTTGCAAGCCGTTGATTCAATACATCAGGTGGGCATTTATTGTTTGGCGCTTGTGCCTCCGAATCATTTGCCGAAAACACCATTGGGTGGCATACATCTGTGTGAGGCGCGACGCCGCTTCTTAGAGGGTTCACTGCATCCAGCCAATGTGTTAATGTGTCCACACACGTGCGTAACTAATCTGCCAAAGCCGCGGGAAATTCATCAAGGTGAGTGTTTGTTTTTGGTTTTTTTTTTGCTTTGCTTTGGTGAAAGGGCGAAAAGAGAAGGAGGGGAAAGGAAAGTGATTATACATACATATTTACAAAATATATTGCCTACAAAACACTTACGCAAACAAAATGTACCAAATATACTAAAAACTAAACCTCGAATTGCGATGTGCCCGAAGTATTGTATACATAATTCCTATCAGAACTGGCAAGTTATAAATTTTGTTCACTCTATTTACTTAATACCAAATAATAATAATAGATTGGCGCTTACACATATGTTCGTGTTTGGCCGAGCTTCTCCTCCAACTTGTGGCATGCGACTTGATGTTGTCACACCGACCCCGAATAGCGATTATATTTTTTTGAGAAGCTATTTTTCACGGCAGAAATACACTCGCAGGTTTGCCATTGCCGAGGAGCGACCGCTGTTAAGAAAAAATTTTTTTAGAACTTTTTGCGATGTTACTTTGACCTGGTCTTGCGGAGCGGAAACGCGCACTGATTTCCACTACACCACAGCGGCCATTTACTTAGACCTGAAAATTATAACATTTGCTATTAAACAAAAAATATAATATATTTCTGATTTTTTTTTAAGTTTAATGGTGATTTCGTTTCGACTAAAAGATTACGCCTTTAGACTGCCCTTTCTCTTTTCGTGTTCGATTCTAAATTAAAAGCAAAGGGTGAGAAAATTTTGTGTTCGTTTCTTAAAATGCCACACTCTTGTAAGACAAAAGAGGCACATTCTTTGCCCTTTGAAGCTTTGTCAGAGGAGATGGTTGCCCTGAATATCAGATGGTTATTTAAAACGACAATATTATAAAGTACATGAACTAGACAAGGACAACAAGGTAGACACATGCCCTTTTGCAGGATTGAGTATAGCTACGGTGACCATCCGTTCTGTTTTTTGCAGGACCGTACTGTTTTTTAAAGGTCGGTCCTGCGTAGTTTTTCACTCCTGAAAAACCTAAAAATGTACTGATTTTTTCCAAGTATCCTGCATTTGTCCCGCATTTTATTCGTTATTTTAAAATTATCGGACAATGGATGTATTTTTTCAAAAAAGTGTTTTTTGGTACTTTGCGTAGCTTTTCTTCAATATCTCATGAAAAGATCTCCAAATTACCGTAAGCGACTTACAGCTCGAAGTGTATTGATGTGCCTCTTACTAAAATATATAACTTGTGGCGACTTCAATGAAAATTATTAGTGCTACAGGCGAAAAAAGTGAGATTTTCAATCAAATGCGCAGTTTCATTTGATTATTTTTTTCATTATTTAAAAAATTCGATAAAGACGATATATCATTACAGTAAACTTTGAGCCAAAGATAATGAAAATCGGATTAGAAATCTAGATGCTATGGAGCGCAATCTGCTCAAATTATATATTTTTGTAAAAGGCACTTTGTAACTCGTCGTTTACGTCGATTCATGACGTCGATTTTTGACAAATAACTGCGAAAAGTACCAAAAAAACAAAAAAAGAAGGGTATTGTTTTCGTTTTGAACGACTCAAAACTTGCCTATAAAATAATCTTTTAAAGATTTTCACTTTTCGTGTAAGCTATTGTAATTATGATATGTTTTACTATACTTTTATAAATATTCATGTAAAAAAAGATTAATATCAATGAAGAAAACGTGATTCATTTTTAAAGCTTAAAATATAATGAGAACTTAGAATCATAAATACTCTTTTGATATTTTTATACTACGTAAATATATGTAGGCGTATTTTTGAAAAATTGTCCTTCATTTTGAATCCATATTTATGATCACCGTAAGTATAGCATAAAACATATTTTGCACCGTTTTTATGTCCGTGGGTAGCTGCGCTTTAATGCTTTAAAGAATTACCTAACAAAAACGCAACATTTCCCCGGGCTCATACAATTGTCTTGCGAGTAGTAATCTTTTTTATGTCGACAAGTTCGTAAAGGAGTCAATTTGTAAAGTATTTCTTAACGCCACATTTCTAAATTTTTTGCTTTGGGCACAAGTAATTCGCTGTTAAACATCGTCATTTACATAGAACATGCTATCTTTGATGCAAGTTAACCCTTCCTCACAACACAATGCATTGCATATTTGAAAACATATGTATGTAAAAAATATAAAATTTTTATAAAGACGAATTGGTACATTAAAAAAGAAGATATTGGATAAAATTTATTTTAAGTTTAATATCAGAAAATTTTGTGATTGGATGCATTTTTTCGAACTCAAAGAATGGAAAATTTGGAAATTCAAAAATTTGTATTGCAGATTTTTTCGAATCTTCCAATACTTTTTCAGTTTAAGGGAATACCCCTAATGCTTTAGTAAATCTAAAAGTTCTCATTTGAGTCATTGAAAACAGTTTCATAAAATTTCCAATATTTGTTTTTCTTTTCCAATATTTTAAACAAAAAGTTTTGCTTTCGACAGAAAAGGGATATTGGATAAAATTAATTTTGAAGTTTCATATCAGTAAATTGAGTGAAAACTGAAAACTTCGAAATTCAAAGTTTTTTAATACAAATTTTTACGAGATTTTCGATTTTTTGTTAAGCGTTTTTAGTGTAAGTGAATACCCCTAATTCGTTAGTAAATTTGAAATTGCTCAGTTGAGTCGTTTCGGCAATTTCCCTAAAATTGGAAAAGGACAAGTGCAAATTTTCGAGACTATCTGAACTGTCAAATATATTTTTTATTTAAACTTTCGAGTTTTTCACTGTTTTGAGTTTAAGGGAGTCCCAAAAGGGAGTTCATAAAAATTCCGAATCTTCCGATTATGTATGTTTGTAATGTACACTTCTACTTATTTCTTCCAATATATTTTTCGCATTCATTTTATGACTTGATTGCTTCATTTAAGTAAGGAATAATTCATTGTATTTCATACAAAATATGTGTGGATTTTCATCGGTTCATTGTCATATTCGAAATCATTTCGTTAATTTTATTACTCTGTTTTAGGACTGTGCGATTATTCGATTACTCTAGCAAGTTGGGGTTGTTCAATTACTTGATTAATCAAAATGATGATTACTCGAGTTACCTTAAATATATGTAATTACTCAAAAAATTAATTTTGCTCGTTAAAACAGTATACTTTGGAAAATGTTTAACTCCTTTTTTACAATGTGTAATGAATAAAATATTTTTATTTGAAAAAAATCAATGCTCTTCTATTGCTTTATATTTACAGAGTACTTTGAATATTTGATTACTCATTTTACTCATAATGTTGATTAATCATAAAGCAATCTACTCAAATATTATAGTTTTTGGTTAATCAAAATCTTGATTACTCGAGTAACTGAACTTTTGAGTTATCATAATTTCCAATTAAAAGAATAATTGAGTTATTTACTTAATGATTAATTAAAATTTTGAATAATCAATTAATCGCACAGCCCTACTCTGTATATTAAACAACATCAAAAAAAATAAAATAAAATGAATAAATAATTGTCTTCAAATGCTTTTATTATATAAAAATTGTAATTATTTTTCTTTTCTTCATTATGCTGCCTCTTTTCGAAACCATTACTTTGATGCAACCATAATCAACAACATTGTACACACTTGAAACATAACAAACAAACAACCACCAAGTACACTTCTACTACTACTACCACCACCACTACCACTACTATTGCTACCATTATAATTAACACCTACAATACCTGCATATCTTATAAAATAAAAAATAATAAATATCATATAATGACACACTCAACTTATTTAACGTATTCGTAATGAATTGGTTGAATTGAATGAAATTGTTGCAATTTAAATAAAAAAAAAAAAAAAAAAATCATACAAAAATGTACTAACATCACAATAAAAAAGGTGTGCAAACTGCAACTGCAAAAATAAGCTCATCTGGATGTGGTATTACAGACACGTCTGTTGGACCAGCCTCAGTGATGGTTGGAAATTTAGTGCAGGGCAACCGTTTAGCCATCGCACAAGGTCGGGACATTGGCTTATCGGAGGAGAATGAACGAAAGGTAAGTTTTTAAAAATAAAGCAAATCAAGTACTATTAAATCAAGCTAAAAAATATTAGGGGTCTTCACAAAAAAAATTATTGTAACAAAAAATTTGACGCATTTCTCGTACTCATATGAGTTATAATTTTCGGCAGTGGGCGGATTTAAAACTGAATAAATATCGAACAGCTGATAGCAGTTTACCCACTACCAAAAAAAAAAACAAAATTATCAAGCTTGCCATCACGATAATGCGATAATCGGTTTACCGACAGTAAAATAATTTTACACAAACAACATACTACTGAGAAACGAGTAACGAAGTATCAAGCTCGGCGTGAAGACCCCTATTGATGATAATACCTTATAAAAATAAAACGATACCTTACAAATACAAAATTTATTTATTTTTTCAGCATCAATTAATAACTGGTGTGCTACGTTGGCGTGCAAATACCTCACCGGACCATATCATTTTTACGCTATTGAATTCGAAAGGTAAGATTTAATGAGAAATATCAATTTTTGAGTAATTTTAAAAGGAATATGAAACACTTAGCTTTAAAAAAGCTTAGCGCCAAGGTGACTTGGTTTTATAACACAGCAGAGTAGATACTTACTACATAAGTTCATAGTAATTGCGATTTTTAGCGTCAGTGAAACCGAATCCGTAGCCGGTTTCACTCAATCAGTTCATGATTTCGACATAACCTCAAATAGTTTTTATAGCCACAGCCGTTTCTGTACCTAACTAAGCTCTAATAAATCGTCCTTTTCCCAAAAAATTATTTTTTCTGCATTAAAGTCACTTCTGGCGTACGCCTTGTGCCATTACGATAAGTCGAAAATCTGACTAGACGGCATTAAATAGACTACGGTTATACCATGTTCTGACCGACAACGAAAACACTTTGAAAACGAGGCTTTTCACACCGGCTGTTAGTGTTTTCGTTGGCATTTCCTACATCTTTTGATACACAGTTTTGCTACACAAAAACAAAACCAAAATACTTTTCCTTCATTTTCTTTTCATTTACAACCTTTTACTTTCACTCATATTTTATTTTGACTAGCCAATTAACAATAAATATTAAAGATGATAAAATATGACTTCCACTTCGATAAATAATCCAAAAAACTTATGATGACACCGATTGGAATGAGTGGAACGTGAGTTTTCAAGTAGTTTTCAGCGAAAACTGTTTTTCGTTTGACAAATTTTACATGGACGAAAACACAAGTTTTAGGTCGCAAATCAGTTTTGGCAACGAAAACTTGTTTTCGATGTCGGTCAGAACATGGTATTAGGGTTTCAGCGGAGTATTTGTCAGCCCGCCCTTAATCATGTATTTTTATTTAAATTGGTTTGAATTTATACATACTTTTTAATTTGAACAAAAAATTCTCTTCCTTTTTAAGGTGCTATCGCAAAGACTTTGACATGCTCAGAATTGCACAAACGAGCTGAGAAAATAGCAGCACTTTTACAGGAACGAGGACGTATTGAACCGGGTGATCATGTTGGTAAGTAGAAAATGAAGGTTCTGGAAATGAGCTTTAAAAGTTAACTGTATTGTTAAAATTTGTACAGAAAAAAATTGACACTTGAGCACTGAAATCAGTTTCTGATTTCAAAGCTCAGGAAGTCTTTTTAGTATTAAGCTCTGATTTGTAAGACATATGTATCCAATCGCTGTAGAGAGATAAAGCGATTTTCAGCATTAAAAGACTAGGGATAAATTTAAAGCCAGCTTTTAAAATCAGCGCACCTATTAAGCTAATTTTTTATGTACAATTTTAAGATGTACATTAGAGTGGTCCAACTTTTGTATGGAGAAAAAAATGTCATCCTAAAAAATGGGGCACCCCTTATTTTTTTGCTTTTGATATTTGTAATATCTATACCAACTTTCCTTTTTCTACTATAACCAATACAGGGTACTCAATGACCTTGAAATGCGTTACTGGATCGCTGTGAAACTGGCCAAAATATTGGCGATCTTTATAAAAGGCTACTGTTGCCATATGGCAACTGAAGCTTGTGCATTTTTTTTAGATAATTTAAATTGGAAATGTTCTTAGGTTGCTTAACCAATTGTTTGATTAATATGAGCATCATGAGCATCCTCTAGTTTTATACTTAGAAACGTAAGGTTTGGTCTAGCAAGAGGAAAAATTTTGGAAGGTGCCCCAAACCCTATCGGAAAAATTTTTTTTGGACCTCTTTGATGTACGTATCGTCGTTTAAAGTACAAAACCGCATATCAACAAAATGTAAAACCGTGAGGTAGCACAAATTATTTTCTACACATTTTTCAGTTTTAGTTCAGAAAGTTGCAATTCATATTCAGAAATTGCATAAATGGCGGATCCAATATGGCGGATGACTTTTTTAAAAATTTATCGGAATCGCTTGAAACTCATTACCCGGGGGTTTTTGGTGTCGCTGATTACGAATCCGATGTTCGTTTTTAAAAATTCAAAATGGCGGATCCAATATGGCGGGAAAAAATTAAAATTTGTTCGGATTCATGTGAAACTCAAAAATGTCGTTGACACCGAAAACGAGGTCAGTGATTACGAATCCGATGCTCGAAAACCCCCGAGTAACGAGTTTCAAGCGAATTTGATTAATTTCAGAATAGTTTGTCAGATTTAATTTTTTTGTACTTTTTTTTTTGAAAGTACCTAACTTTGAAGTGAAATTGTGAAAAAAACTAATGCAGCTAGAAAGCTACGGTTTATTGCATTGGAAAGAGTGGCCCGTTTACAATAAGAGTCGATGAAAAAGTGAAACCCGATTTTTTCTGACCCTTTTAACTTTACGTGTCACATATATGTAACAAAGCGAGACAGTCTAGTACCGTTTTTGTGAATGTATTGTGTACGTAAGTGTCGTTTTTGTGTATGTGTTGTGTACATGTTTATTTATAAACGCATGTGTTCATTTTCTTTCGTACGTGTTTATTGATATATCTCTTCTTTAATGTTTTCGGACGGTACTAGCTCTTACTGTATTACATATATGTTTTTTATGTACATACATACTAGGGATGTTAATCCCGGGATCCCGGGCTTTTAAAGTCCTAAAAATGCCGGGATTATGTGCCAAGAATCCCGGGATTTTCGCAATTTGTAATTTGCAATGATGGCAATAACAGAATGCCTTATGTTGACCTGTTTTCGCTATATTTCTTTCTTTTATTTAATATTTTTTATATATGTCTAGCTAATTATACATACACATAACACCGTGCGACAGGCAATTTTACACACAAAAAAATCAATTTATTCGCGAAGCCATGGGCCAAATATATGCAGTAAAATTGCGTTTTTAGCTTTTCTCTGCTTGAATAATATGAGTAACTCAGAAAATGGTTTAAAAAATTTAGTGCAATATACTTAGGAAAACAGTAGAGGTATCAAATTAAAGAAAAAATTCTGTAGAGAAAGAGCAGATAACATTTTTTTTGGTGCATAAGGTATTGAAGATCTCCTTAAAAATTGTATCCTTGAATATCCTTGAAATTTTTAAATATTTATTTTGAAAAAATTATATGTTAAGGACTAATATAAACTCGGCAACGTTTTCGAATATAGTCATTATAACTTTATTAGCTTAAAAAACTAAAATTGATTAAAAGGACATGTCAATACCTGTTCATCCTTGTGAACCCAAAAAAATTTAATTTGTTTAAATCCTGCAGAATTTTCTCTTTAATTTGGTATCCATTCTGCATTATTCTACATTGCACTGAATTTTTAAAATAATTTTTTAGAATTGATCATATCTTTGAAATTATAAAGTTCCAATAAAAAAAAAATTATAAAACTAAAGACGCAGTTTTACTATATTTGGCCCATAGCGTCGTGGGTATATTGATTGCTTGGTGTGTTTTGACTTTTTTTGTTTCAAACTGTTTCAATCTTTTTACTCAAAATTTTTAGAAAAATTTTAGGTACGCAATTTTATAGGTAAATATAGCCCATTAAATTACAGGAGGTTAAAGTGCTAGTTTCAAGTGACTAAGAGTAACGTTGATTTTTTATAATTTTTGTTTGCCGTAGGCTTCACGCATTTTCTTCCATAAAAAGTATGTTCGACAAGTTGTTTATATGGAAGAAAATGCCCAGCAGCGTTTAAAAAATTCCCAAAAATCAACGGTATGAAACTTGCATTTTATCCTACTTTAATTCAATGGGCTATAAAACTGCGTACCTCAAATTTTTCTAAAAAATTTTTATAAAAACAAATTAAATATTAAATAAAGAAAATAAATATAGACTAAACTGGTTGAAATAAGGCGTTTCTTTTATTTCTGCCACTAGTATTATGAACTTCTGTCAGCCACGCAATACATTTGTTGACTTAAGTTTTTTTGCATCGAGCTTTTTTCGACATGCCTTAAGTTATTTTATCAGATACGTACACGCTAAAGTATTCTTAAATGCGTATAAATTTAATTACTGTCTTTTGTTTTGTTACTAATGAAATATTTTTCAACTTAAGTAATAAAGTAGATTTCAAACCCATTTATTTATTATATGGTAGGATAGCTTCTCAAACTATATTGATTCCCTTTTTTGTTGGAAAATAATGAATATCTAAACGATGTCCCGAAAATCCCGAGATCGCAAAAATCGAAAAAATTAACATCCCTAATACATACATATGCGTAAGATGAGTTTTTCTAAATTTTTATTTATATTGTTTTTGTTGTACATATCGTCGCCCGTATGCCACAAACATGAATGTGTAAAAAATCGTTATTAAAACAACAGATTTGTAAAATAATAGCTAGACACGATACCGCCTTCAAGGCAATGCCGCCAAAGAAAACCCGTTTTTCGCTCTCTTGTAAAATTTGAGTGCGTAAGATAGGCGGTTTAGCAATTGGTCGATGGGCGGTTTTGCAAAAACATCAAAAAAAATCAAGTCAACCCAATAACTCAAAACTGATAAATTTGCACATTCATGCTTCTGGCATAAGGGTGATGATATGTTAACTATGTATATTAAAAAAAAAGAATTACATTTTTTTATTAATGTACGAAAATCTAATTCATAAAAAAATAGTTCGTCACCGCAAGTTTACATATATATATATGCACGTATGTATATACATAAAAAACTACAAATACATACAGTGGCGGTCAAAAGTGGATGAATAGTGTTTTACTTGTAATATTTACAATCTTTTTCAGGCTAAAATTGTTTTGCTATTTTTTCATAAAAATATAGTTCATCCTTTAACAAAACCCACATAAATCACACTTTCAAACTTTATACAGAATTTCGAGCTTTTTAACCAACATTTTTATAAAATTTTTAGGTATGCAGTTAACAGGCTTATAAAATTTTATTAAAATAAGTGCAAGTATTGAGCGGCTAAAATATCGCATTGATTTTTTAATATTTTTTTTTTGCTGACGGGTTTTCCGATTTTTTCATATAACAAGTGCAATTTATAAAAACTACCGTTCATTTTTTTAAATTCTTTTCGCAAACGGTTTTGCGTATTTTGTTCCACAAGAAATTCATGTGTATATGGAAAAAAGTGTAAAACGCCATCAGCAAAAAAAAAAAATATTAAAATTCAATGCGATTTTTTAGTCGCTCAAAACTTGCACTTAATAATAATAATAGATTGGCGCTTACACATATGTTGGTGTTTGGCCGAGCTTCTCCTCAAATTTCATAAGCCCAAAAATTTTATGAAAATTCGGATAAAAAACCCTACAAGAATTGTGTGATGGAAACTAACACATTCTCATTTATCTTACTAACACATTTGCAAATTTTGCGTTGGTTTAAAAGATACCATTAAATAAGGCCATAAGTTGGAGGAAGACGGAAGATCACATGTACACAAATGTTTACATCAGATTTTTCACTCTACCCTTTAGAATTTGATAGAAACTTGTAGGTAGCCAGTGGCAGAAATCTCTATCAGTCTTGCCACTCAAATGATTTGTCAAATGATAGTCAATGTTCTTGCAGGGTTGCCACTCAAATGATTTGTCAAATGATAGTCACTGTTCTTGCAGGGAAGCTAAAAATGTTGACGAAAATTTGTTGAATTTTATATAAAGTTTGAAAGCTTTAATCATATGGTTTTAGTTAAAGCATGAACCATATTTCTATAAAAAATAAAAAAAAATTAGCTCGGAAAACATTATAAATATTAAAAAGAAAACACCATTCATCAACTTTTGACCGTCACTGTATACCGATAAATGATACGTATTTTGAAAAGTAGATTGATAAGGATAACGATAACGATAAAACCCGCAAGAAGTATATCGATAAATCAACAAAGTATATCGATGAAAGTATCAACTCATATCAAAAAATTCCCATAAATACTGATTGCATCTAAAGTGACTATCGAAAGCAGTTTTAATTTCCGAAAATCAAACCTTCTGATACATATTTTTTGTTCGTTTGCACTGGCCGCACACGGTCGTTTGCCTCAGACGGTGAGCGGCTCATATGTATGCGACTTGGTCGTGATGGGATAAAGATGGATAGCGAAACGCGGATAATGCAATTGCAATGCTTTTGACTTAGGTTTTTTTTATGTACGTGTTATAGGGCTTTCGCACGAGGCGATTTTTCAGGCAACTTTTGCGTTCAGCTCACGCTGGGTTGCACGAAAAAAAAAATTGAAGGGCTAAAAATATCAATAAAAGAAAAAATCAAAATATTCGCCATAAAAAGGCGTTTGCATTGTTCACAACAAAGTTGGTCGCCAGCCAACATTTCTGTGAAGACGTGAAGTGAAAACATTTTGCATCACTTGACATAAATTCTGCTTTCAAACGAAAATAAATTGATTTGTCAAAAAGTTTTCACTGTGAAAACTTATTTTCAAACGGTTTTGTTGCTGTGAAAAAGAAAAGTTGGGAATTTTTCTCAAATCCATGTTCTGGTGATAAAGAATATTGTCTTAAATTCAGAATAATTTACCAAATAATGATCGAGAATCGCTTAAAATGATATAATGAAATGCTAAAGTGAAAAAATTTAATTTTCACTGACATTCAATTTTACATTTTCACTTCACCATTTCATTGAACGCCAATTGGCCCCCTGTACTGTAATGTTTTCCGACGGTACTAGCTCTTACTGCCAATATAGGAGTATTACATACATATATGGATTTCGGTCAAGAATGATAGAATACAAGATTGCGCCGATTGCAGCAGAATTCGTGAGAGTAATTTTAGCGTGACGTCATCGTAGAGTTGACAACTGAGAGCGGCGAGAATGAGCGCGACTAGTGATGTGCTGAATTGTCCCCAATACTTAAAAAAGATTTCGGTACCCTATACTTCCTTTTCGGTATCCGATACCGATTATTTACATTAAACCCTCGCCATTATATGCATTTCAGGTTTAGAAAAAACTTTCATTACTAATTTATATGATATCGGCTAAAACACTTGAACTTATCGCCACAGAAAAATATTATTTTATCAGTTTTAACCTTAGTCGATCCAAGGTTCAAGAAAAATACTTTGACCGATGAAGAAGCCTTTCAGGGGAGAGATTCTGTAGCCAGTTAGCGACAAGTTTCGGATCGATATCGCACTTGTTGACTTACAAATATTTGATATCAAACGTCGACAAAACCGATACCGATTCGAAAATTGTCGTTAACTGGTTACAGAATCTGTCCCAGGCCTACAAAAATGATATCGTCCGATTCAGCTGGAACAAAAATGCTTCAAACAAGTAAGGGTTTCTCTGTATTATGGCATCGAACCGACATATATACATCTTTCATTTGAATCAGTAAAAAAGTTCTATTGGCTCTTACATTCGGGTTTTGTTAGGCGTTTTTTCCATATTTTTGGCCTATGTGCGCTTTTATTCGAAACCTAAATGTTTCGGTACCGAGTAAAGAGAGTATTGGGTACTTAAAAGTATTGACGCAGCACATCACTACTGCTGTCTTCTCTACTATGACGTCACCAAAACAGCTGATTCTGTCAAAATCACTGAGAGCCGAGTAGCGGTATCGTCATCGGCGCCACCTCTGTATTCTCTCCACCGTGGATTTCGGTCATATAGTATATATGTATTGGTAAGACGAAGAAAAACATCTCTGCGTAAAATCTATCAGCTAGGGAGCGCCGTTTTTTCCTGTTCACAAAGCTCGAGAACGGCTATATCGATTTTTTTTTTTTTAATTTCGAACACCAACTGCAGTCTTTCCAAAGATGGTTATAGACTAAAAAAATGTCCATAAATAAAGTGGACGTGGCACCTCCCATATATAACCGAATTTTGTATACTGCATATCTCTGAAAGTATTCATAGTACTAGAACTTAGTGTGGGTAAATATGAAGTCAATTCAATACTCACGGAAGAAAATGGGGTTATTGGAAAAGGGCGTGTGTCACCGGCCAAACAAACTGCATTTTTCATATTGCATATCTCTGGAAGTAGATAGATAGAGTACTCGAACATGGTATGGAGATATATGTATGAAAGCAATCGTATACTCATGAATAAAATTGGGACTATTTGAAAAGGGGGCGTTGTGTGTGTTTGAGGTAGTATTGCCAGTAACTGAGTTAGTAAAATCCCGTCTAAATACAAACTAAATCCCGTTTTATACTAAAGATATGTATATATCTATTATACATAAAATGCTTTCGGATGAAAAATACAATTATGTATGTACATTAGCGTGCTTCTTTTTACGACTATTGTTTTTTTTTCACGCCTACCTCGAAATTTTGTGGAAATCACCTACAAAAAATTTGAAGCCTTAACATTAACATTAACATTAAGTACTCGCCCAAGGCATGCAAAGATTTCTCATATAAAATACACGTAAACTTAGATTTTTTTTGAAAAGTCTACAGCTCTGACGCATTCTATGGTGTAATATTGGTCAATGATGGGTTTTCTTCAGAATTGAATGCTCAGCTCAAAATGTTGGACCAAAATGTTTCAATAAAAAACAAAAAAAATTAATTTTGGGCGGGACGAAGTACGCCGGGTCTGCTTGTAAAATGTGAAGATAAGACGACTTTAAACGCTTTATAAATCGAAAACTGGTATCAAAATCTCGCTTTATAAAGCTCTTTAAATGTATTTTGTTTTTTATAAATAAGGCTATTATATTTTAAACTATAAGATGGTTCTAATGATATCGTCGAAAACATGATATGGAAATTTTTTCATTGGCTTTGATTTCAATACATAAAATTTAATTTTGTTTACAGTCGCTGAATAAAACCTTCCTATTATTTCCTCTCTCTCTCTCTCTTCCACAGCTTTAATATTTCCACCCGGTTTGGATTTATTATGCGCGTTTTATGGGTGTCTTTATTTGGCTGCTATACCAATTACCATACGACCACCACATCCACAAAATCTCATTACGACTCTGCCAACTGTGCGCATGATTGTTGATGTCTCTAAAAGTGTTATTGTGCTCTCTATACAACCGATAATAAAATTATTGAAATCACGCGAAGCGGCTGCTTCCATCGATCCGAAAACTTGGCCACCCATATTGGATATTGATGACAATCCTAAGCGCAAATTAATGGCTATTGCAAATGCACCATTGGACTCAACTGCATACTTGGACTTTAGTGTATCCACTTGTGGTCGCTTAAGTGGTGTGAATATTACGCATCGGTAAGCAGTTGAAAATAATAATGACAAATGTACCACTTAGGGATATGGAAATTGTGGAAATTTTTTTTGTAGCGTCTTTGATAAGCATACTGGTTATATAAATTTTTTACATAAGTATTATTTAACTAATCCATTTTATCTCTCCCTTTCCTGCAGCTCCCTTTCTAGTCTCTGCGCAAGCTTAAAATTAGCTTGCGAATTATATCCTTCTCGTCACGTTGCTCTCTGTCTAGATCCGTATTGTGGTCTCGGTTTCGCCATGTGGACCTTAATTGGTGTCTACAGCGGTCATCATTCGATTCTCATTGCCCCTTACGAAGTCGAGACGAATCCCAGTTTATGGTTATCAACATTGTCGCATTATCGGGTGCGTGACACCTTCTGTTCGTATGGCGTCATCGAGCTATGCACAAAGGCACTTAGTAATTCAATACCGATGCTCAAGCAACGTAACGTTGATTTACGCTGTGTACGCACATGTGTGGTTGTAGCCGAAGAGCGTCCGCGCGTTCAACTCACGCAACAATTTTGTAAGCTCTTCCAAGCGCTCGGCTTGAATACGCGTTGCGTATCCACCTCATTCGGTTGTCGTGTCAATCCGGCTATTTGTGTGCAAGGTGCCAGCTCGGCGGAGAGTGCACAGGTGTATGTGGATCTGCGCGCGTTGCGAAATAATCGTGTGGCGCTTGTGGAACGCGGTGCTCCGAATTCGCTGTGTCTGATAGAATCGGGGAAACTTTTGCCAGGTGTAAAGGTAATCATTGCCAATCCGGAGACGAAAGGGCACTGTGGCGATTCGCATTTGGGTGAAATATGGGTAAGCAATTGTTTGTGTGTGTGCTGCAGGCTGAAAATCGAATATGGAAATTTCTTATGAATGAAAATAGCAGTTTCTCCACCGGAATTATAAAATTTATGTATCATATTTTAAGACCTGTGCTAAATTATTATATTATATATAGTCATTTCCAGCGAAAGGTCTAGCGCGAAAAAATATTTTATATAACTTATTTATGGGCCAATTTGGCTACGAATAATGGTCTCGCTAGGTGGCGCTTGGGTCGAGATATTTTGCTACGACTTCTTTCAAATTTGGCATATGTAATTGAAACAAAGTAAGGCATGGATTTGCAAGAAATGGTTCGCACGAAAACAAATTCGCCCGTTGTGAATACACGGAAGCGAAAAGTTAAGAATTTCAGGCGAAAATTAAACTCATGATAAGGCTGATTAATATTTACGTGAACGGGACCGATTGGTAAATACCTCCAGAAATCACATTATTTTGATTCCGATGATAAATTTTTAAAAAAATTTTAAGCAGAGCTTTTAAGCTTAAACTCTTCTATCATCTGAGGTCATTTTTTGGAAAAAATATTAAAAAAAGAAAAAATCAATATTTGGCCGTATTTTCAAGTCGGCCCAGCTGATGTAAATTTTAATATTTTCTCGAAATATTTCTGCGGAAGTCTTAAAATATAATAAATGAATTAACTCCGATGGAAAAACAGTACCGATTTGTTTTTTATATGGAGAGTGAGGCACCTTAATGTATACAAACTACCCGTTTTTTCGGTTTCAATTGCAGGTTCAATCACCGCACAACGCTAATGGCTATTTCACCATTTATGGCGACGAAACTGACTATAATGACCATTTTAACGCCAAGCTAGTAACTGGGGCGACAACAGAAGTCTATGCACGCACTGGCTATTTAGGCTTTTTACGACGCACTGAATGTTCGCAAGCGGTTTCCATTTTGGACGAAACCACACCCAGTGTGGCTAGTCGTGACAGTGACAATGAGTCACTTAACTCAATGAGTCAGTTGCATTTGAATTTCTCATCTATGTCAACAGGACCGCAGGCGCCCAGCGTTAGCGGTGATCCATGCTCGCTGGCCAATGTCAATGATCAGGAATTGCACGATGCTGTCTATGTAGTAGGTGCTTTGGATGAGGTAATTACACTGCGTGGCATGAATTACCATCCGATCGATATAGAAAATTCGGTGCTAAGGTGTCATAAGAAAATCGCTGA